CTAGAATAGTTGGTCTTTTTGATGGGTCCACATCCCAACACCTCTGCATCATTTGCACATAATCATCAGGCATTCCAGGTAATATTGGTGGTCGTAAACCTTCTTCACATATATCAAAAATTAAATGATGATCATGAGCTCTATCATCAAATGGTGGATGACCTGCAAATATTTCCCACATTAACATCCCAATGCTATATATATCTGATTCTTTTGTGTTCTTTTCACCTCTAAGTAACTCAGGTGCAACATATGATACAATTTCATAGACTTTATCTGATGATTTTTCATCATCAACTGGTCCACATAATCCTAAATCTATAATATAACAATCTCCTCCTTGTACAAGTATATTACCACTATGTAAATCACAATGGATTAAATCTTTCATATGTATATTATATAGTGCATTACATAAATACCTAAAGATTAAAATTCTGTCTTTTAATGTTAAATTTAAATGATTTTTTTGTAAATAGCTCCCTAAACTTCTATCTGGATAATAACTTGAAATCATTGCATAATTTCCATTGTCTGGGAATTTAGTTATACCATAGCATTGAAGAATCATCCCTGACTTAATTTTACAATAATTCATTGCCTGAAATTGAATATAAAATCAATTAGTATTATAATATAATACAGTATATACAATATTATTTTAAATTACAACTACCAACCTCATCAAAAAAGCCTTTTCCTGGATTACTTGAATCATTTAAACTTTTTAACATCACAATTTGCATTCCAAAATAACTAAATTCCTTTTTATTTTCATCATAATCAATTGTTCTTCCTCTTTCCCATTCAGCAGTATAAACTGAACTAAACCCAACTTCAGTTAACTTTGTTACATTTTTAAATTGCTCAAAAGGTATCCATTCTAAAATATAGCCTGGCAAAGGTGATTTCATTTGACATTGTTGAATAAAATCATCAATTATGCTATTTCCAGATGTCCAGGTAATGAAAAGATTCTGTAATTGTAAACTGATGCAACCTTCACAGAATTTATCAGAGTATCTTATCAATTTACACTTGTTACATTCTTTTTGTTTTCCCTCTTTATATCTTGCATTTCTTAATTCAACCTCATAAACAAACATTTCTTTACAAAATTCTTTTTCATTTTCAGAAAGCTCCTTGTTTTTTTTGATTAATGAAAAAAAATAATCTTTTCTACCTTCTTTATCAGAGTTAGCTGTTGCATTATTATACATTTCATTGTTAATTTTATATACAAATTCCTTCCTTTCTGGTGATAATAATTTAACATATGACATTATATGAAAAATAAATATATAAAATTTTAAATTTTTGACTTGATCAATCTATTGAATATAGTGGAGAAAACGATTTTTTTTGTTCCGAGAATAACATTAGTCAGTCCGTTTATTTATTCATCCATTTATTTATTATTATTATTAATTCAATTCTTTATATTATTCCTTTTGCAGAGCGATGATTTTATGCCAAGCAAAATTGCCGAATAATGCATCCAAAATTGCTTAATAATGTATTAGTGAGTGTGTAGGTAGTCCTTATGATGGAATATTTCCTTTTTTGGATTTAAATTTAACCCAAATTATAGTGCTGCGGTCACCTTCAAGTACTTTTAAATCATAGTGCTAACGATAGAGTTTTCCCAATCTTTAACCAATTATATATAAGATTAAAAGAACATCCAATTTTTTTGTGATCATTTTATGAGTGGGAGCCGTTGACGACCATCGCTCATAAAAAAAAAAAAATCTGATTTATGAAATTAATAATAATGATAAAAAATTTCAAATAAATTTCTATAACTGCATAATTAATAGTTTATTGCAGCATAAATCGTCGTCTTTGCAGAAAATCGCTTGAATGGCATGCAACAAATAATTCTCTCTGGTGATAATAATTCAGATTTTTACATTAATTGGGAGGGTTTGAATGGTTAAATGGTTTATTTAAATTTTTTCCCTATCTGGATTTAAAGAAATCTTGAAAATTTGAAAAAAACAACGTCATCACCAAACTCTAGTTGATTGATGCTAGTAATTTAGCAATAAAAGGATTCTATTTTCATCGCCTTTAAAACTTACAAAAACCCGTACCTAACCAAACCTGTCTTATTTACTATTCATTCTACGTAACAGCTTATGTGTGCTTCAAATTCAGACACTAATTTTATCGTGTATTTTATTATTACGTGTAGTTAACTTCAAAAAAAAAAACGAAAAAACATCAAAGCCAACTGTATGCGCTGATTTTGTTTGAACCCCCAAAATTTAGTACGATACGATGAAGAGAGTCAGTCAATAGACTCAACGTACGTTATTAGTAAATTAGGATATACTAATCAATCAATCCTTGTATTAATTGAATTTAGACTCTAGTATAACAAATGAGAGATACGTTTTATTTTAATATTTATTTCTTTGATTTAAAATTCATATTATGAAAACAATTAAATCGCTCAAGTTTAAAACAGTCAAGCGCACGTAATATATAATATTCTAGAAGAAGATATTTATCCGTAATTTCCAACCTTGCAACAAACTGCAAAACCCGGAGAATACAAAACGCTTACCGAATATAAAGTGAAAACTACTTGGGGAAGAGCATAAAATGAAATTACAGCAATTGCATCTATTGATTATATCGGGAAAAAATCTACTTGTAAAATTCAATGGATTGATAAAGATACTTGCAAAAAAACAAGTTCAATCAAACAAATCACCATCTAAAGCATAATATCAAGTTGGCCAAAAAAACTCTATCATGAAATAAATTCTAAAGGATAATACTTCACTAAAAATCATATTCAATAATTAAGAACCACATAGTAATAATTTCTTTTTATATGTGTATATGGGGCATACTGCATTGGTATTACCCAAAAAATTTCAGGGATCAAAATTTAGTTATTATCATGTTCCATTTGTTAAGTGATATATAGAACTATCCCTATATAAAAATAATTAATATGACTATGAAACCTAAAAATTATAGCACCATTAGAAGTATTTTAAGAAAGAACAAGGGGAAAAAATCGCTCCTTACATTTTCAAAATAAATGATACTTAGACACTTGAAACTTATTTAAGAAAAGAAAGGATTGATTACCTATGAAATTTACCAAGAAGAAAGAAAAATAATAAATATCAGAAAAAGAAAGCAAGCATGAAGATGTATTACTACAAAAAACAGAAACCTTTGAAAGGAAAATAGTAAGAACAAATTTATTACCTATTTTATCTTTCTTGATGAGATTTCTGAAACCAATACTAATGTTTCCATTCTAACCATCCATAATTCAAAAAGCCCACTTTGTGACTGAACACTAAATGCTTTTTTTTTGCTAAAACTTAATAAGTAATCATGACTAAAAAAGAATGTTTTAATTGTCACAATATAAAAGAAGGTTTAATCATTAATTGATGAGATGAAGAAGAAAGAGAAATCATCAAATTTTGCTGCTGAGAATTCTCAAAATCTAATTCAGCAAGAATTAGACAATAAATATTGCTGATTGAGAAAAGAATAAAAAAAGAAATTTTAGTAAAGGTTAAAAGTAAATTATTGGCCATGGAAGAAAAGAAATAAATGATTATGGTCAAGACAGATATGATAGAGTAGCTACTTGGTGTCTACAATGCAAAATAATTTTACTACTTCATCAACATTTTTATCAATCACCGTTTTAGTTTTCCATTGAAGCATCCTTTTAATATTACCATGAACTCTTGCTAAAAGACCATTGTTTACCAAGTGATTTCTGATATTCCCAAAATAAGTTCTACCAATCCCTAACATATTGAGATAAGTTTCTTGGCAAAATAGTGTATTATGATAGAAATTTCTTTTATTAAATCTGGTTTTCTTTTTAAGGCGTCTACTAGTGCATATTGATCCACCATCCATTGCTTTAAGTTTGCCCATTAAAAATATGTCTTGTTGGACTTAGAAAGAGCTTTAAAGGATTTCCTTAATTCCGCAAATTGTTCATTGGGGATTCTTGAATAACAACCATAATCATAACCTTTTTCTAAAAAGCTAATCGTCTTTCCATATTCATTAGAACCATTATACTCATTACTTTTCATATACCTATAACCCTATATATATAATTTTTTTATGTTCACTTTGTATGGTTTTGTTGTAACGTTCCCCACTTGAATATCGTAGTAAACAAATTTGTTATGTTGATTCACAATGCTTCGGATGATTGATATCAAATTCATTTCTTATTAAATAAAGAAATATCAAAAAAATTTATCATATTACTCTTCCAAATAAACTATATAATATAATACTTAAAGATATCAAGAAATAACAACCATAAGTTCTACTTTAACGATTATAAATGCAATATTTGAAATATCGTCATCATGCAATACAAAAGTCACGTCGCCAAAGTTTCCACAATACGTATATACGAATATGATCCCTCAATGAGTAAATAAATTAATTTTTTTGTGTGCAAACCAAACGTATTGGTTTCAAAATCCACAACACAAAGCAAGATTAAAGCGAAGAGTAGGTAAGTGTCAATGATCTAAATACTCTCATTATCAATTGAAATCAATAAATCTTCACATATCATTACCATCAACAAATATTTATTGGTGCATCAAATCCATTAACAACAACAATACATTATACAGATAACTTGTCATAGAGATGAAAACAAGTTTTTTTTGGAGTCTTCAGGTTGGGCTCTTTCTAATTTTCTAACATTTAGACAAATGGATATAATACATATTGTGAAACTTTAAAAACTTATAAAAAGGAGGCTCAAATGAACTAAAGTTAAAAGCAATTCCTGCGCTTGATGAATTCGAGGTTAAGTGATATATTTATTTATTTATTTATTTATTTATTTTTTGCAGTAAAGCATATCTGGGAACATTTCCAAGCCGAAGGAACACAACATTACAACATTTGGATCATCGTGTCAGCTTGTTGAGTAACCATTGTGTTCAATGTTTGCTGTTAATAGTTTTTACTACATAATCATGCTCACAATGCTTGGCAATCAGAGTAAATCTCTAACTACCTTTTTTATAAAATATGAAGGAAAGGATTCTCGATTTCTGGAAAGATGTTGAATTAACCAAAAAAAGAAAAAAATAATGTGAAATCTTAGAAGATTTAGATGTAAGTAATTACTTCAATCCTCAACTTCTATTCTATCCTAATAATACTTAACCTAGAATCTCTTAGTTTGAATTCACTTTGGATCGTACAATGGAACACAATAAAGAAGTGGAAGAAAACCGAAAACTAAAGCGTATCTTTGAAAATCATGATGGTAAGAGCAGAATACATGAATACTTAATAATGTGAACAAAAACTTGATAATAAAATAGCAACTGTCTTTGGAAGACGATCCATTGATTTTTACATCATCTCAAGGGTCAAATTATATTAGAAGGTCACCACCCACTTCACCACAATTCAAATTATTGCAATAATATGATTTTCATTTTTTAAAAAAACAGCATATTTATGATGATAAAACATATAAGATAGAAAAAAAGGACCAAAAACCAAATCCGCCCATAGACACAACTCTAAATATCAATATTGATATGCCTATGTGTATTTAAAACTTAGACACTAAAGCGCGTTTTTATTTTATTAATAATATCACGCGCAATTAGCAAAGATCAAAAAAAAGTATATCAAATTAATACACACACTCTCTGTAGCCTATGTATGTTTCAAACTCGGGCATTAAAGGCAATGTGAACGCGATTTGATTTTTTCTTTTTATGAAATGCATATTAAAGAAGAAATATTAGTAAAATTTGTAATAGTTGTATATAGTAATAATAAAAGAAATATCAGTAACAAATTAACTATTGAAATTTTCTCCATGGCATAAAATACTAGTACCATATTATATATACTATATATACAAAATAAGTCATTCCTGTAAGTAAATATTAATTCATAAAAGATGTTAGATGTGCTTCATGATTTAATGTTGTATAAAAATAATATTTAATTCAAGTATTTAACATTAGACATCAATGTCAATTTTTTTGGAAAGCATGAATGTTTTGTATGATGCTAAAACAATCATAAATATCGTAGAAATTCAACAACTTTGAGTTCTCTCAGAAGAAAAATAAATACTCATTTAACATTCTAATAAAATAAACTCTAATAGAATCATTATTTTGAAAATTAATCCTTAAATAAAAACAACGCTTTTATTTTCTTTGTTTACAAGTGTAATGCCTTGGTAAAAAACCTCGTTTTATTTTCTTTAGAGAGCAAACAAAAGTTAGGTCAACTAGTGAGCGTTAGCAACAATTGTAATTTGCTTTAATGAGTAAGAAAGGGTTAGGACTAACGTTGGTTAACTAGTAAGTGTTAATGAAGTATTTGTCTGAAGGTTAATTGAAAATACTTTATAATCATAAATGTAAGGTGTTAAACAAGCCTACTTGAGTTGTTTTGTAAGTGAGTTTGCAATTAGCCAAATAAATATAATAACTGAAATAAACCGGTCATAAGTGAATTAAAAAAGCCTTTGAGCTTTGTAAAAGAGCCACATCTATTTACTTACAGTTATCTGGTACCTTAAAGAAGCTTTCTAGCTACGAAAAGTTATTCATGAACTTATTAATTGACTAGCATCAAATTATTGAAAATAGTTAAGCCGTAATTGACATCACCCAAAAAAGCTACGTTGCAATATCACCATTTAACAAGAATTAGAAAACTGTAAAAAGTTTATTACTTCAAAATATTATTATAATTTAACTTAAGAAATGGAACAAAAATAAAATACAAAGATAAGTAATTATAACATATAAATATATAGTGGAGATTAAATTAGTCATTCATCGATTATTATTAGAATCTAAAATAAATAAAAAATATTGTTAGTAATAATTAATGGATAGTAAGTTCCAATTAATTAATTAATAATAAAAATTTTATTCACCTTCAGCATTTAAGAGAAGAGAGTTAAAATCAAGATCATTTAATGAACTATCATTGCTTGTATAACTTTTAAAGCTTCTAGATTTAGCAATCTCTTCATCTAATATTCTACTTTTATGGTATGCGCCTGGATGTGATTTGTGTACTTGTTGCAAATCACTACTACCACTAGCATAATGGACACTCATTTTGTGCAACAGTCATTTGTATAATAGTCAGGCGGTTACACAGAGTCCGTTGCTTCTGAAACTTCACTAGAATATAGCTGTAGCCTCTCTAAGTCCAGATCATTAGCAAGATCAAAATTATCTCACACTTTTATATAATCAAACTTATGCAAGAACTTTCACCATAACATATGTTATGTTGATCATTTTTTTGTGATCTGCAACAGTGTCCACTATGCTACTACCACTAGTAGTATTATTGCTACTATTATTACCATCAATATAATTGATGATTTCTTTCAATTTATTATTAGCAAAAATAAAAAGCTCATTAATAGTTGGCCTTTTTGATGGGTCCACATCCCAACACATCTGCATAATTCGTGCATAGTCATCAGGCATTCCAAGTAATATTGGTGGTCATAAACTTTCTTCATATATGTCAAAAATTAAACAATGATTGTGAGCTCTATCATCAAATGGTGGATGACCTGCAAATATTTCCCACATTGACATCCCAATGCTATATACAGTATATCTGATTCTTTTGTGTTCTTTTCACCTCTAAGTAACTCAGGCGCAACATATGATACAATTCCATAGACTTTATTTGATGATTTTTCATCAACTGGTCCACATAATCCAAAATCTGCAATATAACAAATACCTCCTTGCAATAATATACTACCACTATGTAAATCACAATGGATTAAATCTTTTTGATGTATATTATATAATGCATTACATAAATACCTAAAGATTACAATTCTGTCTTTTAATGTTAAATTTAAATGACTTTTTTTCAAATGACCTCTTAAATTTCCATCTGATAAATAAGCAAAACTATTGCATAATTTATCTGGGAATTTAGTTATGCCATAGCAAGGAACAATTGTTGTTGCTTTGATTTTACAATAATTCATTGCCTGGAATTGAATATAAAATCAATTAGTATTATATAACATAATATTGTTTTAAAATGACAACTACCAACCTCATCAAAAAAGCCTTTTCCTGGATTACTTGAATTATTTAAACTCTTTAATACTACATTTTGCCCTCCAAATAACTAAATTCCTTTTTATTTTCATCATAATCAATTATTTCTCCTCTTTTCCATATCGCAGTATAAATTGAACTAAATCCACCTTCAGCTAACTTTGTTACTTTTTCAAATTGCTCAAAAGGTATCCATTCTAAAATACGAGATGGTAGAGATGATTTCATTTGGCATTTTTGAATAAAATCATCAATTACATTATTTCCATATGTCCAGGTAATGAAAAGATTCTGTAATTGTAAACTGATGCAACCTTCACAGAATCTATCAGAGTATCTTGTCAATTTACACCTGTTACATTCTTTTGGTTTTCCTGATTTATGTATTACATTATTTGATTCAGTATCATAAATAAACCTTTCTTTACAAAATTCTTTGTTGTTTTTGATTAATGAAAAAAAATAATCTTTTCTATTTTTTTCATCAGAATTAACCAACATTGCATTATTATATATTTCATTACGAATTTTATACACAAATTTCCTTCTTTTTATTGGTATTGATTTTAATAAATTATTATGACATTTTATAAAAATAAATGTATATTAATGGGTGCCTTCAAAAATTATTATATTGAGATTGAGATTGAATATTTGATTGGATTGAGATTGGATTGAAATTGAAATTTTCAATCCATGATCAAAAATTATTTTATCAAGATGATTGACAATTATTAATTAAAAATGGAATTTTTACGTCTCTTTTCTCTTTTATTAATGAATTGGACCTTGAACTTACAAATACCAATGCTAATGATTTTAGTATTGATGTCTTTGTTTCTTGGTTATATACTTCAATATTTTCCTTTTTTTTTTTAAAAAAAAATTTTTTTTATTTTTATTTTTATTTATTTTGTTACCTGACCTAGATTGAAATTTCATAGTAAAATTCGATCTCAATCTCAGATCAAAATCAATCTCAATATGGAAATTTTTGAACGCAGATCGAAATCAATCTCAACCTCAATCTCAATCTAATAATTTTTGAAGGCGCCCATTCAATCTCAATCTCAATATAATAATTTTTGAAGGCACCCAATGTCAAACTGATGTTAACATTTAATCTAAATCTAATTTTTCCCATTCTACTTTGCATCCAAATCAATGAATACAATGAATACTTATTATACTACTTTTTTTATTTATTTACCAAGTTTAAGAGTAGTGAGGAGAGGAAGCAGCAAAAGTAATTTTAGGAGAATATTTATTGTAATAATAAAAATTTATTTATTACTACATTTCATTACAGAATAGGAACAGATCCACCTTTTCGGTGTTGAAATAGATTTCCGGGTAAAACTCCTTAAATGATGACAATGACGATACTTACATAATAAAAAATATCATGTAAATTAAAGATACTGGCAAACAAACAATTAACTCATTTTTATTTTTTTTTAGAAAAAAAAAATTTTAAATATCAAAGAAAAAAATAATGTCAAAAAAGTAAATAAATAGTATTATTATTCAATTTTTTCGCCATGTTTAGAACCAGTTGATCCTTTAGATTCTAGATGTTTATTAGTAAATGACAACGATGAAGATGGTGTTTTATTTAGATATTCTCTTAGAACAAGACTTGGCCAATTTATAAATTCCGTCCCATTATCTTTTATAAATCCGATAAGTCCAATAATAACAACAAGATTTAAAAAAATTAAAAATCTAACAAGGTACAAGTAATAACCTAAATTTAAAAAATTATAATAATAGTAATTATTATTATTATTTAATGATGAAACATTGAAATAAATTATATTTGTAATAATCTATTTATTTACCTTCGGATTTTGGAGTTGCTAATAAATACAACATGAATATTAAACAACCTAAAAGTACTTGTGGAGTCTAAAGAAGATTAATAAAAATAAAGTAATCAATAAAAAATTATTTCTATTTTTAAATTAAAAAAAACCAAAAATTTTCATCCTATTTACATATTTTATTTGCAAAGATTTCGCCTCTCTAGTAAAAGGTGAATGATCGTTCAATTTCACCTCATAATTGCCCAAAAACAAATCATATGCATCCTAAATTTAATTAAAATAAATAAGTAAACACACATACATACAATTACAAGTATTTAATATTATATAAAATAAAATTATATTTGCTTTACTTGTTTCGTTCCGTCTTTAAAATTATTTAACACATATCTAAGTATTCCATTTTGTAAATCTAGTGCAGCACCTAATTTTGTTCTTTTTCCAGTTCTAATATAAATAATACATATTATACTTTATCTAATAACTTTATCACCTTGATGAAAAATTAATGATAAAATTGTTAACTTAATTACCTAGTATAATCAGTTTTTTGCGCACCAGTACCAGCATAAGGTAAGCTGACAGCATCAGCGTTATCAGCCCAAACTAATTTAAAAAAAAAATTACATCAAGACCAAGAGCAATAATGAATGTTATTAATTTTTTACTATTAATGATTTAAATATAAATATTTTTACCATTTCTAAATAAACCCATAAACTCGTTAAACTCATCAATATGTTGATTACTACTCAATATTCCTATCTCACGTAATTGTTGAGTTAACACCCACTTTGAAAAAGTTGATTGAACAACATTTGTACGATCAAGGCAATCCATGCAATTAGTACGAATAACAGCTGTTTGAGTTTTATAGACTGAGATAGTTGAATTAGTTTCCTCTCCATGAAAAAATCTTAATTAATACATATATATTTAAATTATTAGAAAAAATACATTTATATTTAATTTTGTAAAGTAATAATTAATAATAAAGATTCAATAAATACCAACCCTTTTTGTAATAAATCTTCTTCCATGCTATCAAGTAAAAATTCAACCCTATCCCATCTCATATTTCGACATTCATGATGAAAATCAAAATGATAATATTTTATTTTAGGGTCATTTAAATTATTAACAACTTTTCGATATGTTTCA